TATGTGTTACGGAGAGATTGTGTTTTTGGAACCATTGCCTCTCACATTCCTACCTAACGTAATAAAAGAATTCTAATGAAGATAATATCAAATGGCATTCGTGCTAGCATCTGAGGACTGCGGAGTACGCCGAATCCGAGGTTGCGTACCTGCTGCCCGGAGGCCCTGTAGCCAATCCTCTTGTGTATGCAGCCGCTCTTTGCCGCGCGTCTTTATGCGAGGCGGTATGTGCAACGCGTGGGTGCGGGGGGGCACAATGGCGCAGGGCAATTCATTCGGAGGCCCGGCTGGATCGTCACGACGGCAACTGTAGTCGGACGTCGTCATCGTCGTTATCGTCGCTGCTAGTCACGTTGTCAAGCGATGGTGTGATCTGCTACCGGCCAACTCTTATCATCAGTTTCTACTGACAGCTTTGCCGTCAGCCTTGCTTGTCAGTTCTACGGGGTTCGCTCTTTCGTCAGCTTTACCCTCAAGTATAGAGCCTCAAGACTCTCATCAGGTTCTACAGTAGTTTACCGTTTGGTCTTCAAAGTAAAGTTTACCGTTTGGTCTTCAGTAAAGTTTATCCGTTTGGTCTACCAGTAAAGTGTACGCGTTTTGTCTACCAGTAATAGTGTACGTTTTTGGTCTACAGTAAGTGTACCGTTTGGTCTCAGTAAGTGTACCGGTTTGGTCTACAGTAAAGTGACCGTTTTGGTCTACAGTAAAGTGTACCCGTTTGGTCCTACAGTAAAAGTGTACCGTTTGGTCTACAGTAAAGTGTACGTTTGGTCTACGTAAAGTGTACGTTTTTGGTCTACAGTAAAGGTACCGTTTGGTCTACAGTAAAGTGTACCGTTTGGTCTACGTAAAGTGGTTACCGTTTGTCTAGCGTAAAGTGTACGTTTTGGGTCTACAGTAAAGTGTCCGTTTGGGTCTACAGTAAAGTGTACCGTTTGGTCTACCAGTAAAGTTGGGGTTTTTTTTAAATCCGCCGGGTTTTTGGGGGGGGGGGGTCCTAAACCAAAACAGTAAATGTGTACCGTTTGTCCTAAACGTAAAGTGTACGTTTGGGTCGTATCAGTAAGTGTAACGTTTGGTCTACAGTAAGTTTAACCGTTTGTCTACGTAAGTTTTACCGGTTTGGTCTACAGTAAAAGGGTTTCCGTTGGTCTACAGTAAAGTTTTTACCGTTGGTCTACGTAAAGTTTACGTTTGGTCTACAGTAAAGTTTACCGTTTGGGTCCTACAGTCAAGTTTAACCGTTTTGGTCTACAGTAAAGTTTACCGTTTTAGTCTACAGTAAGTTTAACCGTTTGGTCTATACAGTAAAGTTTAACCCGTTTGGTCTACAGTAGTTTACCGTTTGGTCTACCAGTAAGTTTACCGTTTTACCGTTTGCGTTCTTTCTAGTAAAGTTTACCGTTGGTCATAAACAGTAATAAGTGTATCCAGTTTGTTCTACACAGCTAAAACGGTTACCGTTTGGTCCTACCCAGTAAAAGATGTATCCTGTTTGCGTCTACAGTAAAGTGTACCGTTGTCGTCGTACAGTAAAGTGTACCTGTTTGTCGTTTACCAGATAAAGTGTACCGTTTGTCTACCCTAGTAGAAGTGTACGCGTTTGGTCTTACAGTTAAAGTGTGTACCGTTTTGGTCTACAGTAAGTGTACCCGATTATGCGTCTAGCCAGTGAAGTGTACCCGTTGCGTCTACAGTAACAGTGTGTACCGTTTGCGTCTACTAGTAAGTGGACCGTTTGGTCTACGTAAAGTTGTACCGTTTGCGTCTACAGTAAAAGTGTGTACCCGTTTTGGTCTATCTGAGTTATAAGTGTACCGTTTGTCTACAGTAAAGTGCTGTACCGTTTGGTCATTACCAGTGTAAAGTGTACCGGTTTTGTCCTACAGTGTAATAGTGTCCCGT